TGATTATGCTCATTAGGTTTTTACCGCAGATGGCCATCTTATCCATAATGTCATAGTAAGCCCGCACAACACCTTCTTCTTCGCATATTCCTCTGTGAATGTAGTCCTCTGCTAGCATTCTCTTGAATCTATCCCACAACTGCTCTGGCTCACTAACAGAGCAAAAACATAGAAGGCTACTGAAGAGGGACCGAAGTTGAGCTGGCATATAGAATTCCGATGCTTCGCGTAAGCAGCTTTCGTAGTGAGAATCATCATTCATCAGTCCTAGAGCCTTAGTTGCTTCTTTAAAAGTTTCGTGAACAACTCCGTCGACTGTCTTAAGATCGCTGAATGATTTTGGCCCTTTCCTATTCAAGAGTAGAATTCGGAGGCTGTACCGTTCTACATCTAAAGGATCCGCCGTGTACATCCTTCCAATTTGACGGTTCTGTCTTACTCTCGCTTTCCACTTTCGTGCCTGCTGGTCAAATGAGAAGAATTCTGGCACCTGCACATAAAATAATGTGCGAGCATCCCTTTCCCCTTCAGGCACGTCACCTTCACCGTATAACAGTTCGTGTTCCTCGTTCAATTTGAAGAATGCCGTGAGTGTTGTGTCTTTGTCGGCTGCTCGACGAACTGCCTCCTCTTCCCTACCTCCTTGGAATGTCACATTCTGATAGTCTGGCAAATGGACCTGCAATCTACAGACGGTGTGTGACTTCGATTGGAGATCAAATCCAAGGAGTCTATGAACAGCTTCCGGTGCACACACGTATCTAGCGTTCACAAATTCATCAATCTCGTCAACCACTCTGTTATCGAAACCGTTTTCGTTCCGTATCATACGAAGTGTTGCTCGGTCAGGTCCTTTGTAAACGTACTTGTACATGTATTTAACGGCTTGAATCATCCCACAGATTTCTACGTTCAAATGGCCGTTATAGCGAAGTGCTAAATAGCTGTTGTACGGCACTACCGATCTGTTATCAAGGATCTTTCCACCCGAAACACATGTTCGACCGTCGTTTGGTCTAGGATACGTCGGATAACTGTCAGATTCTGCACTTGTTTCATCTCTGAACTCCTTCGGAAACCCTTTAGAGCATATCCCATCTACCATACACGGCGACTGCGGATTATCCGCACCACATGGTCTGTGCATCATGCAAGTAGTCACAATGTTGTAAAGGCGAGGCTCTGTTTCTTGGTCAGGTATGGTGGCTTGCACAATAGAGTCTATCTCAGTGATGCTTCTCGGCTTGTCCTGTTCTGCCAAGGTTACCAACATGTGACAGTGCGGGAGTCCTCGTTTCTGCCATTCCATTACCGATACATAAGCATTCACAGCTCCGAAAATTTGCCGCTTGAACAGATCTTTATAGAGCTCCTGCAGCTTAATGTGAAAAACTCGGGCGACGATATCCGGTCTATCGGAAGGCGTCTGTCTATTGTGCAATTGCTCAGCAATCTCTCTCCATGCAGGATTGCACGTGAACGTGATGAAGAGGTCCGGTTTTCCGTACCTGGACACAATGGCCATGGCATCTTGATAGTTTTGTACCATTGCACGGGGTGATCCTGGGAACGAAGAAGGCAGTATAACACGCCTAAAACCTGGTGGACCTGCAATATCGTTGTCACGTGCCACGTAGTCAGAGAGGCCTTTATAGCTGTCGACTCTGAGCTCAGTTTGATGGGTACGATCGTAATTCAGTCGATTCTGCTCTATCTTAACGTAGCTGTCCACTAAAAATTGCTGATGGAGTTTCCCAGCAAAGTGAAGAGGATTGAATTCGTCCCTGACAGCTATCATGTTGGAGTAATACTCCTTCTGGGTTATTCTGGCACGACGTCTCTCCGATGGGTTCTTCAGCATATTCGGGTGCCATCCAAGTTCTCCATAGGGAAAGAGGAGTGGGTAGGTCAAAGGATCGCATTCGGCATCAATCACTCGGATAGAGCGCAGCCCTCCTCCTCTTAGGTGGACTGCAAGGTTGTGCTCGGCAGGTACATCTCCATCGTCTCCAACGTATATCACTGCAACTTCGTTGGCAATAGGTGCATTATATCGACGTTGATCTACATTCGGAGGCATTTCAAACACCATTCTCACAGGTTTGGCTGATCTTCCTTCTCTAGCAGCGCGTAAATCTTCCTCCAAAGCTACTTCATTCAACATTTTGTATGCCTGGGCAAATGCATTACTTTGATGTAGAAGTGCACCCAACGAATGGATGAGCCGTGGGTTACAATTTATGTTTGCTGGGTTT